TTTTTCTTATGAACTGCACGCAAATATGTTGCCCTGCTTTACATACGACCATCATTTTTAACGCTCTGCTGCTCTTCTTCTTTGTTTGCCCATCTTAAATACGCAGCAGAAATGCTTGCAAAAAATAGTAAAATTTCCACATTTTTTGAGGTGACTGCCTTTGGCTGTGTCCACCATTCGCCGTTCCGAAGCTAAACTACCAAGTTCTACCTGCACGCAAGCTCACAAACCGCCTGACAGGTAGGCACCATCTTAGGGAAGAAAAGCGTGAGGAAGGTCGGGGGCGGGGGGGGGGGGCGTTTCTCTGGCTCCGAAATAATTGGCTGCTGATGGATTCGCGCTGTAAATTCCTTTAAAGGAACACTGCACTCTTGAAAACAAATGCATCAAAAGTGCAGCAGGTGAGGCAAAAAAGCCGAAACGACCAGTTCGTGGGCCGAATCAAGGTATCGGTAAGGAGCGTTATAAGAAGGAATATATGTCAGTAGTATACGGTTAGTTATAATGGTGTACACTATTTTATGAAGTTTGGAACCGTCTTCCAGTGCACATTTATTCGAAGTGGTTCTGAGAAGGGTGTTCTCAGGCCCGGATTTCGAGCCGTATGCACCCCACCCCTGTGTAGTGTGTATGGCCGCGTGACCTCCACCACCCGGGCGGCTCGTCCCGAGAAAGGCAAAGCCTTTGCTATCGCGCGTCCAGCCGGCCGGGCCGGGCGGCCCCGAGACTCCTGCGTGGGGAGAGCCTAGCCTCTAAAAGGAGTATTAGTCAACAAAAGACGCCCTAAAGGCCCCCGCTGCTCCGCGAGGCGTGGCGGGGTGTGGCGGGGTGTGGTAGGGCGTAGCGGGGAGAGGTGGGACGGGGCGTTGGCGGGGTTCTCGCGCAAAGGGGCCCCAGCTTGCCACGCCTGCCCCCGCCTGGATAACGTGCAAGATAATAAGGCCACCCTGAAGCTCGCCCGGTCACCTCCCCCACTACCCCCCCCCCCCCCCCCCCCCCCCGAGGAAAAGCGAAAACCCCTTTTATATTTCGGTGCGATCGAATATCTGCGCCGAATTATTCATGGCTCGTCGTCGTCGTCCACCGCCGCCTCGGTTGTCCGCCCCCGCCCCCGCGGCGCCGCCCACGCCGCCCCCGCCGCCCCGGGGCCGACTCCTACCGGGACTATCGCTAAGTCGGCCCGGCCTCGAGGCCATGTCGAGGGAATGAATGAATAAAGTGCCATCAAAGAGAGAGGCGTACACCCCCCCCCCTCCCCCATTCCCACTGACCCGCCCGTCGGACCTGGCTGAATTTGGATTTCCACTTCGGTCTGCTTTCACGTCATGAGGCGGCTGCTGGAGACGACTGGCGCCCGCGAGCGGCACGCGTGGTCGCAAGCCCAAGTGATCCTCACCTATAGGTGTTCTCCTCTTCCCCATGCAATCTTATGACTACCACGGCGGTTGTCTGGTGGGCCAGTCGGAGAGGAGGTGGAGGGGGGAAGGTAAGAGTAAAGCACCCCCCTCCCGAACCCCTTCCCAATTAGCTGGCCTAGGCAGCCTAGTAGTGTGAGCTGCTCCGGGCGGGAGGTGAAGGGGTGAGGGGCTGTAGCGAGGGCGAGGAGAAGAAGAGCGGGTCGCGCGCGGTCCCTGGCTCAAATATGCAGTGGGTGTGCGATTCACTGCGAGGACGTTCAGGGCGCAGCAAAACTGCGACCCAGCGGTAGCGGTTGCAGTGGCGGCGGTGGCAGCGGCCAGCGAGGCCTCACCGCCGCCGAGCCTCTGTCCGACCCACGCATTCCATATCGCTCTGTTGGCCGGCGCGGTGGTGGTGCCCTCTCCTCTGCCACAGCCCCCTCCATCCCCACAACCCCCTCCTTCATCCTCTCTCCTCGCTCCACTTTGGCAGCGGACGTTGCTTTGCTGCTGGCCCCGCAATTTCCGACAAACCATGTTTCGATATAAAAGGGGGAGAGAAAAAAAGTGAAAAACGATCTTCTGTCGCGGCGAGTTTTAAACTGCAGTAAAATAACTCAGGCGGCCGCGTGCTTGGCGCCGCGCTGCGCTGCGGTCGGTATTTAGGGCGGCCGAGGACCTAGGACCTCCATCTGCACCGCACGCATGCGGAGGGTCAAGGTCCGCCCGCTGCGGGTCGACTGGCGGAGATCAAAAGTGTTGCCAAAAATAGGCGTGAAGTATAGTTGAAAGTGGTCGGTATCTTACGTGAAATATGGCATATAATGTGGCAAAACGATTCCAACCCTAAACGAAAATGATAGGCCAAGGTTTCGTTCAAAACTATTTTCGAAACAACACATTTTAAAAACAAACTGAAATCTCGTCCCGAATCAGACAGCTGGCTGCGGTTCAGGCCGAAAAAAAAAAATCACCGTCGCAATATTCTTTCTTGTCTCTACCCGCATGAGCCACCATGCACGCCCATCGAGCACGTTTAGTACTGTCCCTCGCCCCTCCCGTGCCCGGGCCGCGCCCTCACGCCCACCACGGCTCCATGGCGGCGGGCGGTGCGGCGCTGCTCCGCTCCCATGAATGAGCTGCTCTTCCTTTTATGGCGATAGTTCGTTATTAACTCGCCGCCGCCGCCATGAATATTTTGCGCGCGCATCGCGCGGCGGCGCGGCGGGGCGGGCGGCAGTTTGCACATCGCGCCGCGTGCGCCGCCCGCCCAGGTGGAGTGCGTTAATCGTCCTTAAAGCCCTCATCCCCCCCCCCCCCCCCACCCCTCTCTCTCTCTCTCTCTCTCTCTCTCTCTCTCTCTCTCTCTCTCTCTCTCTCTCTCTCTCTGGCGTAGGCTCGTGACGTCACTCGCCCGCCTGGAGTAAATTCTGTGGGGGCACAAAACAATAACACTTTCTCTACAAAATATTGCGAAATTGTATAAAATGCTTAAGTACGCACCATAATTCTGAAGTTAACTGTCGGGTGGAATTTTCACCCAATAAGGGTCTATCTCATCCAGAGAAAGTAGCCTGCGTCAGTTTTTTTTCTCAGTTTCTTTCGGCAAATTACGGGAGCTCGGCGCCTGCGAGACACGGGGTAGGCCAACCCGCTTTACACGCATGCACTGCAGGCAACACTGTAAATGAATGTCGGAATTTTCCGATGAAAATCTGTCCAAATAGTTCGGACACTCATGTATCCGAACAGTGGCTGGATTTGTCCAGACATATGTCGGAATAGACTCGTTCCAATCTGTTTGGAATTTACCAATCAATGTCGGGAAATACCAAACACCTTGTGAAAACAATGCTCTTATTAATACTATGTTTTGTCCCCTCTCAACTCTTGAGCAAATTGTACGATGCCAGCAAATATAAATTACAATACATAAAGCTCGTGAATGTTAATAAAAGATATGCAGTTAAAAAGTTAAATGAAAAACTTCAATCTGTATGAACACACTGAAAAATATTGTTTGCATTAAAACTGTTTTGTCATAGGCTGATTCCACGGTTATCAGAAATGTTGGAATATTCCAAGTCACTGTACAGGGTGTCATTACTCAAATTACTCTGGCATCATTCAAAGGCTAATCTATTTCCTAGCCTAAGCAGTAACTATTAAAACCTGTCATTATTGTTGAAAGTAGATTTGGAAGTGCTTGTCAGCGTTAGCAGACAATAATTTTTACCATGGTTAGGCTATGTGATGAAAATCCCTGAGGTGCCATCCATAGATTCTCTAGTAGAAACGTAATTCCTGAAGGGTAGGTCTTCTCCGATCTACTTCTGCTCGTTCGTAGGAATTCACACTTAATAACAGATAAGAAGATTTCGGCTTCGAAATAAAAGTTTACATTTGAAAAGGCGGCCATACTTGAAACGGTAAGTTACCTATAACTACAACACACTTAAATAAGTTTAGCTAGATTCAGATTCAGATTCAAAAAACAAAACATCTTAGCTGTTCTCTCGATACATCGATATATCGACTAGGGGGTTCGACTGTTTGCACTAACTGATCAAGTAGCACTGCAGGTTATGTTTTCGTAAGATTCGTGTCAACATTCTTGCAATTTTGTATGTGTTTTGAATTATCTTAGATTCCCCTTCAGACACTAGTCAAAGAATTTTTGCACAAATAGTTCGTTTAACAGAAAGATAGGTTGCTCACACAAATTGTGTGGCCAATTTTTTATTGTTCATGAATATGCAGAAGACATTTCCTGCTCTTTGTTGGCATGTCCAATGTCTTTTGTAAAGATAAAAAATCACTCTTATTTGACAGTAACCTCTTCTTTTTTAGGTTTTGTTAGTGTTGAAGATTTCAGTGTATGGACCTTGCGCCTGCAACTTTTGTTGTTAGCAAATCAGCTGAGTACCAGATGGCAGATGCCCGCTGAGCTTGGACCACTTGGACTAATGCTGCAAGGTGTGAGTTGATTGCTCACTGCATTGTAAAAAGGTAATATTCAGTACTCTTGTATTGCTTTTTAGTGCTTATTGTGGTAGGTTATTAATCGTTGCCTTTTCTTTCACGCAGGGGCTGCACAGCAACTGCTTAGGATTTCACGTTATAGGTTTTGTGATGCCACGGGTTGTTATTTGTGAAATTTATTTGCTTCCTTTTTGAGGGTAAGGTAAACATGTTTCTTACTTTGCAACTGATTTGTTATAGTTATTTCTTCATTTATTTGGATAGAATATATTAAGGTTTTATCCTAAATATATCTCTTAAGTTACTATCTATTTTTGGTACTGCTTGTTGGATCACAATATAAAAAATGATACGCTAACAAATAAAATAAAATTCATTAACTATATCTCCATTGATATTTTACCATGACTCAAATAATTTAAAATATAAAGATATATCTAAAGAAGTAACATTTCATTTCTTAAAGTAATTAGCCACTTTGTATTCCATTGAAAAGAAAAAGTAAAACTTAGGAATTCAAACATGTAGACATACATTTTTCTAAGAATAAAATAAAATTTATCACTTGCAGTTTTTGCTTAAAGCTATAGGAAGTCAGTTTAAAAGCACTGACAATAGAAGTCATAACATTTCTTCACTACTGGTTGCAGATGAGTGGGTGCCATATTCTTCTACCAGAAAATCTTCAAATTTGGTATCAAATTTTTTGAGAGCTGGATGGATTGATCTGGGGTTGAATTGTCCACCAGCTTCTTTTGGAGGCCTTTTATTTCCTCTGATGGGATTCATTAGAACTATGCATCTGCAATAAAAGGGCTGCTACTGAGAGAGCACAGACAAATTGGTGCCATTAAGTGCATTCAGGAAATGACGACACTAACCTTTGTATGAATTCAAGGGTGATTTGTGCGTTTGCATCATAATTTAAATTCAACACAAAGTAGGCCCCAAAAAGAAGGGCAATCCCTTCAAGTAGAGTGTCAGCTGTACCAGCAACGTCACCATCCACAGTGAAATAAATTCTGCTGTATTTAAGAATCTTTGATCCTGAAATTAAATCAAGCCAGATTGTCAAAAATTAATTTATCTTTCTAGGGTAACAGCATTTCAATTATAAGGTTTTTAAAAGAGATGCTAATTTATTACCTGCGATGAACAACCTTGGTGTTTTTGGAATTTCATCTAGCTTAGGAATATCATCCTCTGTAGCAGTCTCCTGGAATATGAGTAACATTTCAATGTTATAATTGTTATGATTATTTTAAGTTTAGTTTATACAAAGATACTCACATCAATTTTAATAAACAATGCCTCTTCATCTTCTTGAAACTTTCTGACGAGGAGTCGTAACAGAGTTACCAACTCTGCATTGTGGGGAGGAAGGACATCTTTCTGCCTTCTCATCATTTTTGCTAACTTTTTTGCAGATGTGTTGTATTCTTCTGTATTTGATTTCTCCTTTTTCAACAGGAACTTCATTACATTTTCTCCCTGTGAAGGCTTCCCTGCTTCTTGTGGAGTGAAGTATGCAGTGAAACTAGCCAAGAGTTCTTTCTGAGTCAGGACTTTGAAGTGTTTGTCCATGCATGAGGGATGAAACAGAAAAGGCCACTTGTTTCGGATTTCCTCAGTGGTAAGGACTACTATATTTTCATTATTCTGTTCTTGGGCTGGTGGGTTATTTTTCTTCCCTTTCTTATTTCTGTTAGCAGCGAGCAACTGCTTCTTCGCTGTTTCTAATGATTCTGCTTGCTTGTTTAGTACTTTCCTCTGTTCCCCATATGTGATCTCCATTGTCTTGTGAATGAAGTCCCAGTCCCATGCCGCAGGTCTCACAGTTTCGAAGTGTTGTTTTAATGCCTCCTGTTTTTCTTCTAGGGACTCCTGAGTTTCACCCTGAGGACTTGCACATCTCCATTTCATGCAGCCGTAAGCTGGCTTAATTGCAGGTGCTTCATTTTCTGTTGGGGTTTTTCTTTTTGCTCTCCGAACATCATCAAAGTGTGATTGCATTTTAAATACCATTGTCTTTTTTCCAATCTTGCCACCTGCGAGTTCACTGGAAAAACTTGCAGCATATTTTTCTTTCATGTCCATCATGACTTGAACACATATATCTCTTTTCACACCTTTCACTTTGTTTCTCACTTGACTGACCAATCTTTTTATAACTTCCCTTCTCATTCGTGGGGTGAGTTTCTTCCCTTTCTTTAATCTATCTTTCAGTTGTGGGCTTATGTTGTACAAATCTGACCAATTAATATCAAAATCCCACTCTCTGTGATTTCGATGGGTAGTGGAACTTCTGCGTGTGGATGTGCTTGGTCCAGCCTCCTGACTCGATGCTTGCACGCCTGGACGTTGGGCTCTCTGGTTCTCAGTTCTATCTTGAAATTCAGTGTTATTTTCACTTTGACCTGCAGAACAAAGCCAGAATGAGTTTATAAAATTAACTTAAGGTGATGGATTAACCAAGAGGCTGAAATTGTTAAACAATGAAAATAACCTGTTTCTCCATGCTGCCACGCTCGCACGAGGGCTCGTGCGTCAAAGATAGACAGCGGCCCTGTTCCTGATAGATCTTCTACTCTCACGTCCTTTAACTGATCTATTTTGCGCAGTTTCATCGAAACGATGTGTGCACCAACTTTTTCGGCATCTGTATCATCTAAATCTGGTAGATACCTTAAAACGCTAGCTTTTACTTGCTCTTTCAAATCCATTTTTTCTTCCTCGCACTTGAACCACAGGTGAAACCGTTGAAACTGAGTGGAGTTCGTTGGCACGTTCAGCCCGATCTTGCTCTGCGCCCAGTTTGAATATCGTGGCAATCATTGTCGCCAACCCAACGACTTGAAAGGAACCCTCAGAATGACTAACCATAGCGGTTTACGAGTGAATTCGTGCTAAAAGACAAATGGGCTTCGGCTTTATTGTTTAAGTTCATGTTTTGAATGTATTTTTTAAAATCAAAACAGTTTTTTCCTGAAATTTGAATATTTGTTGTGTTTCTGGTGCTGCATGATCCCAGCGCTCTCGCGCCCTCTCGTGTCACGGCCTGAAAACGACTGTACCGCACCTGTTCGAAGTTATCTTTGTTTTGTTGAGCCTTTATATTTGTCTTGCTCTTGTCATTTACGTCGTAATCGTAAACTGTGTGTACGGATTTAATCGTCGTCCCCGCGATTTAATTTCTTTCCTAACATTTGCTCTTTCTCTATCTGTTCTAGGTTCAACTACTTTGGCTTCCCCTGTTGTTGTTTTGATCGAGAGCTTCTGTGTAACATTGAAAATATCAGTACACAGCCGTTGATTTATGTTGCGAAGTTGTCGTCAAGTTCATTTCATTTCTTGTCTCTCATCGCAAGAGTCAAAGAGGCAGAAAATCTGATCTGACATTGTGGAGTTTGAACCCTTCAACACTTCATAACCTCTCTACTCGTTATTTGGTCATCATCAAAATAAAAGGTAACTTTCTCATGGAAATCGCAGCGCTTCTATGTTGACATTTAATTTGTGATTATCTATTGTTACAGGTATTTTATTTCTTGGTGTTTCTGACCATTACCATTGAATTTTGTCTCTGAGACTAAGACAACGTCAAGACCAAGTGTTAGCACTCGAACAGTGTGAAATATTACAAGGTATGAAGACTAAGTCGTTATTTTTATGATTGATGCTCTACAAGACCAACAAATTGTTACTTTTAACTTATACCTATCACTTCGTGTTTCTGTTGTTCAGGTTTTGTTTTTATTGGTTCTAAATGGTATTGTAGAAGTACGTTAAGCCAACTTTTGTTCCCTAGAGCTTCTCCCAATTGGTATGTATAGTTGTGATTTGTGCTTTGTAATATTGCTTCAAATCTATGATCACAAGAGAAAATGACACTTTGTTTTGGTTTACAGATTTAATCCAAAATGGGAGTATCAGTAGAGGCATGGAGGATGCGCATTGGTGGTTTTAATTGTTCTGGATCTATTGGCATTGTACAAATAATTTCTTTGCCAATGTCTTATGCGCTGTCATCGCTGCATATTTTTCTACTTCTATTTGTGCTGTTGTTGATCGGGAACATTGAGTTGAATCCTGGACCGATTCAACTTAACCCATGCGCCATATGCAACTTCAAAGCTATTTCAGCTGAGCAGCATATTCAACACCAAAGAATTCATGAATCGGTGTTTAATTTCCAGTTTTCTTGCCCATTTCTTGGTTGTCCAATTTCTTATTCCAGTTTGAGAAGTTTGAATGCTCATCTTTCAAAACACACTCAGCCTAGGAATGAAGTTACAAGTGGAACAGTGATCTTCAAGTGCGAATTCTGTGAAATTAACGTTGCATCTAACAGAGACTACTGCCTCCACATCAAGGACAAACATCTGAATGTGGAAAATAGTGAAGGCATACTTTGTCCTTTGTTCTTGGGATCTGAAGGGAAATGCCGGACTGTTCTTTACACTGTGCAAGCTTTTGCCCTTCACCTGTCTCGATGTCATCCTGGTTGGCGGGATGACTACAGTACTTCAGCCCTTACAAGCTGTCAACAACAGCCATTGATGGAAGCTGAAATGAATATTCCTACTGAACCACTACAGCATATGGATATGGACACATTTGATGATTCTGAACAACGCGATGAATTTGGTTCTGTTCATAATCCAGTCGACAAAGACTCAGACGATTCAAGCTCTACCTCAAGTTTTGAATCGGAACATGGTGGTGGATTTCATTATGATCAAATTGAACAGTACATAGGCCACTTCTATGTTATGCTAGAGGGAAAGTATATTGTTCCCTCTTCTACTATTGATGCTCTTGCTTCTAAATTATCTTTCATTACAGAGATTGTGCAAGACAAGTTCAGAGAGAAACTATCACAGGCTCTTACAAATGTGGGACTTGGAGCTGATGTAATTTCAGACATAGTTAGAAGTGTTGTTTCTATGGACCCTCTCTACAATTCTCATCACAAAAAAGCCCCTGGTGCTTGTTTTCTCACTAAGGATCTCCGCCTTTCATATTACAAGAAGCATTTTAAGTATCAGGAGCCCATTCAAATCAACCTCAGAAGAGATCCTAAGAACACTGATGATACCATCCAGTATGTTGACGTCAAGCAATCTCTTAATCTTCTGCTCGAAGATCCATCTGTTCAGAAAGTTGTCGATAAATCATTTGAAGTTCCACCCTCTGATGGTTCAGTTATTTCAAACTACACAGATGGATCTGTGTATCGTGAAAGTCAAACTCCCCCGAAGAGGATCGATTTACTGCTGTACATGGATGGCTACAATTGTGCAAGCCCCCTTGGCTCTGCAAAAAACAAACATAAAACGCATGGTATGTACATGACTTTGGGAAATTTGGACCCCTTTATGAGAGCTTTTCTTAGGGCTATGCGTCTAGTCCTTGTGGTGAACGAGAATTCCTTAAAAGAAACGGAGTCAAGGTTCCAGAAGTGTTTTGAAAGATTGATAAAAGATTTAAAGGATTTAGAGAGAGATGGAATAATTTACAGGGGAGAAAATGTTCCAGTCAGGGTGCAGTTTATACAAGGAGACAACCTCGGTCAAAATTGCCTTGGAGGGTTTGTAGAATCATTCTCTGCACTTTTCTATTGTAGATTTTGTGACCTGTCCAAAGCGGATTTCAAGAATGGTTGCAACCAAGATGTACCTACGTTTCCCCTTGGAAATTGGAGGACACCAGACTCATTCCGGAGCGACCTAAGAGATAAGTTAAGGACTGAAAATGATCATGAAAGGGGTGTGAAAAGAGATTCCCCTTTCAATCAACTTGATAATTTTCATGTATGTGATCCAAGACTTGCGCCTTGTATAGGCCATGACTTATTTATTACTGGGGTTGTTGATACAGATTTGACCTCTATGATAAAAGGTATGATTAAGAAGAACTGGTTTACCAGCCATTTACTGAATATGCGTATTAGAGGATTTAAATATGAGGGAACTGACGCAAGAAATAAGCCTGCTCCATTTAATGAAGAAAAAGATAAGCTTGGAGGCCACGCAGTTCAGAACTGGACATTGTTCCGACTTTTGCCCTTATTAATAGGTGACTTGGTAAGAACTGACGATGATCTATGGAAGCTATATCTGCTACTTAAGAGGACTGTTGAACTTATATGTGCCCCATCATTAACTGCTGCTCAATTGGAACTCATGAAACGTCGTATTGAAAAATACATGAGAAGGAGAAAAATCCTGCCTAATAAGTACAAACCAAAGCATCATTTTTTCTCTCATTATTATGATCTTTATCTGAAATTTGGCCCCTTGGTTCACATGTGGAGTATGGCTTTTGAACATAGACACCAGTTCTTTAAACGAGTAAGCCAAATTTGCAGAAATTTTATTAATTTGAATAAACTTTTAGCCAAAAAGTTCCAACTGCTTATGGCGTACCAAAGTATGGGGCATCTATTTCCTGATAAACCTGTGTTTTCGAAGACTTCTCCTCTTGAAAATGGAAGTTATGATCAAGCACTGTCTGATTTTCTCCTAACTTTAAACCTTCCAGAAGAAAGTACAGTTGTTGAAAATATGGTGCTAAATGACATTTCTCACAAGCCTGATGAATTTCTTTTTCTGAGTGGAGCCAATTATGATATAATTCTTGGCAAAGTGAAAATTATCATATTTGATGGAAATGTTTGTAAAGTTGTTGTTGAGAGAAAGCAAACTGAATGGTGGGAAGAATATGGCATCTTCTATGTTACAGAGGATTCTGGGTACGCTGTAATTAGGTTTGAAGAACTTGAAAACCCATGCCCACTTCCTCTTTATAACTTTAAAGGAAAGTTATGCTTTTCCCTCAAGCATGATTTGAGGGACTAACCAATGTAAGTGGAATTTTTATTTTAGTTAATTTTATAATACTTGATACTAGTAAATTTTGTGTTTTCTAAAAGCTATTTCTAAAACTGAAATTACTCTTTCAGGTGTGAAATGACAAACTTTACTTTTGGATGGTATAACCAGTAACCAAAATAATCTAATAATGATAATAATTTGATTCATATGCATTTTACTTATAGCTGTCTAATTATGCAACACTACAAACAGGTATTTCTAGAAATTTCAAAGCCTTTTTTATATGTGCCATCCATTTGTCTTTACATTCTTTGATTCTCTGCGCCAGATTTTTGAAATTAGCTTGAGCCGGTAGTGCACAGTTTCAGCGGTAGGACAGAAGCAAGTAAATTTTATAAATGATTAAATCTTTTTGTCAGTCAGAACATTCTGTCCTTGCTTCATACCCAGAAGCTTATCAATCATTCGATGCAATATGAGTGAGTTTTTCATGCACATTTCTTTGGATGGTTATTAGAAAACAAAAATTAATATCATCTTTTCTGTTTCAGTTGCCTTTGCTCGAGAATGGAACAAAGCATACATTGCAAATGGAGGGGAAAATTGAGGAGCTAATGACATTTCATTTATCGTTTCTAAATTGGCAACGGAATCTCCCTCTAGCTGGAGCTTTTATACAATTCTACCATGCATTATCAGGTTCCTGTTATGAAGTAAGTAGAATTGAGGCATTACTTCTTATCAGCAACTCTACAACAGTAAATCGAAATTGTATGTATCATTGTATTGTTCCAGAAACTTATCTTAGAGTTGAGGAAAAAGCTTATTCTAATGGTACAAACCCTCAGACATCCAATTCCTTGCTCAGAAATAATGTACGAGTAAGTTATATTTTTCTTCATCAGCTGTGTTTTCCCCAGTTCGTAGCTCCTTGCTTGATAAAACTTACATTTTCACGTTCGTTCCCTCTTTGCCTTGGTGATTGATGCACAACTGGGGCAAAAGAGATATTTCAAAGAAAATGTATTTTAACTTGAATACTGTACATTCCAGTTATTGTAAGTAATTTCTTGTACATTTTTTGCTCATATGTATATATTTTTTTAGTGATAAAGCAGAAATCTTTTTACCCTTTCAGTAATATTTACTTGTGATAGAGAGTGCGCTATGCAAACAGATTCCCTTTCAATTCAACAAGTTGGTGTTGCTGCATTAATCCATTGGAATCTAAATCTTCTTAAAGGTAAATTATTGGCTGAAAGTTGTACAAAATTTATTTTGTTAAAGCCCAACTCCATTGGCAATACATTACACATTGTTTTACTATAATCTCCCCTTGTTTCAGTGACCAATCTTCGATGTGGCATATGCATACAATTGTGATACCTCTCCTACAATCCAGGAAAATTATCAACCAACCTAATTGCATTTTTCAATGTTAAAGCTGCTGCCGTGAGTATTCTTATTTCCTATCTATATTAGTTTGAAAACACAATATTTCCCCTTTTTTCTTAATAGCCTATTTTGGTTTGGTACAGTGTCCAGCGATCTACGCTTCACTCCCGGCGACTTGTAGCTGTCCACTGGTGCCTGTTTGGTGATGATTGCTTTCTTCGAATCCAACTCCTGGAATGAGCCCCTGCGGACCTCGGGGTAGGCCATCCCGTTCTACACGCCTGCATACCGGTACTGCCTACCTCACAGGGGCCCGCCTGTGTACTTCTGGGTAGGCCGCCCCGCCCTACATATCTGCACGGCGGTACTGCCTACGGCAGACTTGCAGGGGCTGATACCCAGGAGACACCACATCAACAGGCAATGCTTTCCCAATTTTATGTTGGCTGCTAAATCATCTACCTGTATTTTGTATTTATTTACTCTTCCATTATTTTTTTATGGTTTCAGTGTTCTGGTCTGGCTCAAATCCTCTGCTAACGTGAAGATCTTCTATGCTGGTGAAGGACTTTTTGTGTCCTTGGTGTATTCAATATATTTTGTGAGTTTAATAAAAGACAAGCATTTAAGAATTTTATTTTTTATTTCGATTGTTCCTGCTGTAAAACAAAAAACAGTAAATTGAAAGAACATATTGAATGCAAAGAAAATCCAGCTGGCTGGCACATTGCGCAATGAAAGAGGGAATAAACAGCAATACTGGCAATATTGTATGCTTTCCGCTAATATGAAAATTCCAAATTATGGAATCCTGGTGGCCTTGTATAATTTTCCAAACTATTTGGAAATATCCAAACTATTTGGAAAAGACCAAACTTGTCGGAACATCTGCTTTTCCAAACTGTTTGGGCTGCAAATTTTCCAGTCCATTGTTCGGAAAATTCCGAAGAATTCTGTTACAGTGTGCTTCTCAGAGGAAAAGAGTCGCGACGGAGGGCGAAAAACCCTCTCTTTGGTGCGTTCTTGCGGACGATACGTACGTACGCATTATTCACCCGGTGTGAATGAATAAAGCAGCGGGGCGCGGCAGCGCGAGGGCTGAGCGCAGAGCAGTGCAACAATGCTTCTTGCCGTGGACCAAACTGGAGGAGGCAACTCGTGCTATTTTGAAGCTCGGGCAAACTACTTCATCACGAGTATAACACCTCCCTACTGAGAATTGTGGTAAAGATTATTGGTATACATCGCTCGTCCCTAACCCAAAGCACGCACGGAGAAACGCCACTAGAGAAACTAAGTACCTTTGCGCGACGCTCGTGAAACCAAGTAATCGTTGCGTGACTCTGGTGAAACCACATATCAACATTTTTGGGTGATTTTTGAAACCATTCGTTAGAGAAATTTTCACTCTATTGAAATATGTAGTTCCTAAAAAACCGTCAAAAATGCATTACGTGGTTTCACAACGATACTTATGGTTTCACGAGCGTCGCTTTGAGATGTCGGGACGAGCGACATGATAAATTTTACTAAGCCTGTGACCGTAAACTGCACGCCTTTGGCAGTTTTAGTGCCTTGTAAATGCACGAAACCATAGTGCCTTTTAAAGGTAGGACTTAGCACCTTTGTTTTTCCGGTGCACCATTTACAAAGTATTTGCACCCGATTACCTCTGGGCTGGGCACCCCAACCTTACTCGAAAGGCCACAATGGGCCTGCCGACTAATGTTTATCTCTTACCTCATTTTTAAAAGAAACCATGCCCTTGCGCGGGTCAGCCAGGGCACGCCCCGCTTTGCGGCGCCACGCAGAAGCAGTACTTGTCTCTCGGCAGCCGCCACCAGGGCTCCTCTCCTTATCCCGACCGAAAAAGAAAGGGTCGGCCTCGGGAGAGGCGCGCGCGCCGCAGGCGTCCCGGCCCGGCAGCCCGCAGTCCGACTCGGCCATTTCTTTTTATTAGACGTGTGGGCCGGGGCCAGGCGGCCCGGGCAAAGATTACCGTCTGTGCGTGGCAAAGTGAGGGGGTCATGGAGAGCCCCCCAGCCGCCCCCAGCCG